CCGAACGCGAAGACAGTGTCGCTGCTGAGCTCACTGCCGTCTCGCGCGCGTGTCGTCACGGGAAGTACACTCGGCCCCGAGGAGCCCTTGACGACTTCCACCGCTGCGTCCGCGTCGGCAGTGGCCTCCCACGTGTCCCCACTCTCCCCGCGTTGACGCAGACTGCGAGCGTCGGCCATCGGAAGCAGCAACACGAGCGCAGACACGAGAGCCACAACAGCAACAGAGCGTCGACGCCGTCGCGGCGCTAGGTACGCGCCCATGAGTCGCTCCTCGCGCTCGCGTGTTTGCCTTACCAGCTACAGCTCCTCAACTGCTGCAAAGGTGGACGGACGAGAGCGCAGCAGCAGTGGTAGTAGTAGTACGGCCTCGAGAAGCCACGCGCTAGTGCTTAACCGCCGACTGTGTCTGACTTTCCCACCCACTTCTTTGACAGCGCGCGTAGAGTCGAGCGGTCGGTGCAGAACCGCCGCCAATGTCTCTTTCGGGCACGGGAGCGACTCGGGGGGAGACCGGACAAGTGACTGTGCGGTACTTCCCACGGGCCATGTGGTCGGTCGGTCGGTCGGTCAGCGGCGCACGACTGGGGCAAAGGCGCGGGGCGGAGGAGAGCGAGAGACCTTTTCGAGAGGAGGAGCTATGTGTCTCAGCAAAAGGCGCGTGATGGGCGAAGTGGGTATATGCGACACGCGCTGCTGCTTCGCTGCAAAAAGGACACGCAGCGCCGTTACAATTGGACGCAGAGAGCGGGATGCGCACTCGACGGCGCTCATGTCGCCAATTGTTGCCGTTCCATGCGTCGATCGGTGCGAGTGAAAGAGCGACTGTGGTACACGTACTGTGCAAGCGATTGGCACAGGAGGGGCTCTAAGTTTGGAGCTCCTGAGCCAATTAAGTGTTTGACCAGCAGCTCCGACGTTACGGGTGACTGGATACCGCCACCTGATGTGGAAAGCTGAGTTCAGACCACATGGATAAATCGAAGGGCAGTCGGCGCCCGTTCGTTTCTGTGGCTTCGCTTTCGCACGTCCCGGACGTCGTTTTGTCCCCATCGTCGCTCTCTCTCTCGCATTGACTCGGACTGCACTTTACGATACTTTTTTGATAAATGAGTTGTTGTTACAACGCAGCTACACTCGGTAGGACAAGTAAAACGCACGACACGTATCGGGCAATTGCATTGTACTTAGTTTACTTGAGGTCCGTCAGTCCATGCGCTGCAAAGACGGTCTTGAGCTCCGCAATGACGAGCAGCAGTTCGGCGTGTGCCTTGCGCAACACGTCAAGCGCGTCGCCTTCCCCTTTGTGCAGCTCTGCGAGGATATGGCTGCGCGTGGGAATCGACCCGAGCGCGGTGTTGACGCCTTTCCGAACAAGCCATGGATGGCGCTTGCCCAGAGTCTCTTCGTACGCCTTGCTGGCGCCGTTGTAGCAGTTGTCGTCGGTCGAGTCCAGCAGCGTCAGGCGTACGCAGGCCTCGACAAACTGGATAAACCACAGTAATCGCAGTAGGCACCGAGAGCACGACGGCTTCTTCTTACCGCCCACATCGGCCACTCCAAGACCCACCTCGTGTTCAATCACAGCTTTCACACTCTGTCCTTTCCACGAAGCTGACGACGTCGGCTCAGTCCACGTCTCGAGGTTGTGGTCGATCGACGTAAAGTAGGCTCCGACAGTGCTGCCAGCAAAGGAGGTTGCTCGGCCAAAGACGCCGAGGAAGCCGCAGATGACGTTGCAAGTGCTTATGAAGCACTCGAGACTCAGGTCTCCATCTGGTGCACGATTCCTCGCCCCATCTTCGAGCGATGCCACGAGCTTCTCGACTGTCACGCCCTCGTCATCGATTTTCTGCTCAATCACCTTCACCTCCAAGTCTTCGTCCTGAGACGTGTCAGCCATCAAGGGAGCCGCTGAGTCAGGACCACAGCGCTTGCCACCTGCGCTGGCGTTCGACAGTACACGCTCACGCTCGTGTCCACAACTGCTCGTACTCGTTCGACGGTGTCGACGACGACGACGCGTGTGCGGTTTCCTTGCAGCCCCCTTTCCATTCCTTGGTCGAGACAGCTCATCGAACAACACCAGACCCAGCAAATACGTGCCCAGCGTGTGCACCGATAGCAAGTTGTCCAGGGCACGCTCCACGAACGAATACGACAGCTGCGCTCGACTTGCAGACTGCGTATCCGAGACAGAATCGGCGCTTCGACTGTAGAAAACCACACGCAACATCACGAGCACCGCAACGACCAGCAGCGACACCCAGTGGCGCGCACGCAAATGGGACGGGTGGAAGCGACCCCGTTCCCCGCTCTGCCGTGTCTTTGACGCTCTCCCTGCACCAGATTGGGCGTGCTGGGCAGCAGAGGCTCCACTCAACCTGGTCGCCCGAGCTGTGTCCGACGCGTGGCCCGCCTTTGTCACCTTCTGGTTCGTTGACGGCGCCAAGTGGCAACGTGACAGGCCATGGCCAGCACCAGCAGCAGCTGCGGCGTTGTCTCGGTCCTGTTTGTGCGTGTCGCCACTTGGCATCGCTGCAAGCGGCGGCGAAGCGTCGGGAGACGGCCCCATCGTGTCTTCGCCACTGCCCGTTTCTATGTGCATGTAGTTGCGCGCACAGGGGTCGCAGAGTCTCGAGCCCTTTTTGCGCTCAAGCCGTCGATGCAGCTTCATGCGGTTCTTGCTGCAGTCGTCGCAGATCTTTTGCGCGCACAGGCGACACGTGTGTTTCGCTCGGAAGACGGTGAACGAGCGCTCGCAGATGCTGCAGCCCCCGCGCGCCGCGCGGCCGCCCGCGTGGGCCCCGTCGTGGACGTCGCTCTCGTCGTGGAGCAGCTCGTCCGTGTCGCCTCCCGCGTCGTCATTGAGCTCGAGCGGCGGCGGCATTGCGGGTGGGGGCAGCGCCGAGCCGCGCGCCGTCGTGAGCTTCTCCTTGTTGGCCGGACTCTTGCGCACGCGGACGTTCTTGAGCTCGTCCACGACCTTCTGGCGCAGGTTCCGACCCGCGCCACGACTGCTGCTGAACGTCAGGAGGGGCGACGTCGTGGACGCGGACGGCGGCGAGACGCCAGCGCTGCCGAGCGCAGCGATTGGCAGAGGCATGAAGGCGGTCGCTTCGCCCATGTGGGCGGCGGGGTACCGACGCGGGGTGCGACACGGTCGAACGCGCACTTGTGATTGGCCGAAAAGCGATCGAGGGCGAGCAGCGCAAATGAGCAAATGCGTGACGTTTTGTGACTGCTCTCTCTATGCACAATCCGTCCGTCCGTCCGTCACGGAGTCCGTCACTCAGTCAGTTGCTGCGTCGCGGGACTTGTGCTTGACTTGCCGTTTGTATGCTCCATGAATCGAGCGGGAATAGGGCACGGACGCGGCGTTCGTGATGTAGCACACCTTAATTCAGTCGGAGCGCGCCAAAGAAGGGACACAAACGGCACGCGTGACGTTGCGCTCGAGGCACAGAGGGCGGACAGAGAGGACGCGGCTGGACCGATCATAGCGTCTGCCTCGCACCAAAAACAACCTGACAGTTACACACGGCGCGCGACGCCAGAAATAAAGTGCGGTACGTAATGATCTGCTCGTGTGAAAAGGGCGGTCCGCAAACGAGCCGGTCCTTTGTCGCCCCTTCGTGGCCCGAGTCGACCACGCGAGGAGGGGCAGTGCTGCTACTGTACGTGACGGAGGCAAACACACCTCACGACCATTCGTCAGTGGGGACGAAGGAGTTGGTACGCATAGAGCGCGACGAGGCGTTGCGGCCGAGTCGTGCAGTCGTGAAGCGAACACGACCGAACGCCAGTCGATCGCCCGGCAGACGGACTGAAACTGAATGAAAAGGCTGCGAGTTGATGCAAAGAGAGCGACTCGAGGAAACAACACAACACGTGCCGTGTAAGTAGCGACTGGCGCGTACAGTCTCCGAGCGCACCAGCGCGTAAGCGCAGGAACGAACGGTGTCGATCGAAAGGGTCGATGCAAACTGTTTAGCACATTGTGTGCGAATCGGGCGGTACGTGCAGGAGAACTCGACGCCGACAAAAGCAGTCAAAACATGTGTTGCCGACGTTTGGAGTTGTTGAAGACGACGTGTGGTGCCAACTGAACGACGAAAGCCTCTGTCGCTGCTTCCAGACGGTTTCCGTCTACAGAGGATGTATCAGCCACCGCCACCCATCGACATGTCCACGGAGACCCAACTCGCATGACATCGCTTCTCCTTGTTGTCCACGTTCACGCGCCAGCGACTTGCAGCTGACTTGTTCGTCGTATTCTGCATCTCCTCGCAGCTGCGACGAATGCGTACCGAAAGCCATCGACCTCCTGCCTCTGCGACTTTGCGCGGACGGGTCGGGCGCTGTGGCGTGTTTCGAGTCCCGTCTGCACCTCTGTATTCCCTATCGCGTTGTTGACGACCACGCAAGACAAGAGTTGCGCGTGTCTCCGTCGCCCGACTGTCTGTCTTTGCAATGCGCAAAAGTCCCCGCACTCCTCTACGAAATATCTCGAGGCCATGTCATCCTTCGATCCAACACCACTTACCTGCCTCCTCTTTACACCACCTGGTCCTGCTTCTGATTGCTTAGACGAGTATTCGCATGTATCGGATACTAACACGAGGTTCTTCCACGCAGTTTGGCTCGTCACTTGCGATCGCATGTTCCCCATCATGTCGTGCATCGCGTGCGGTGCTGCACAATCGACGACGTGTGCATAGAATCAAGTTGCACCTGATCTTTTTGGCATCCAGGCAGAATGCCTAGGGCCGCCTATGTGACTGGAGAGGAATCAAGCGTTCGTAATGCTGAGGAGGTGAGTGTTTGGATGGCGATCAGACATCCGAATGCGAAGGCGATTCTGTGCATTGAGGTGAAAAGCGAGTTCCTATAAGTCGGTAGCACTGTTCGTGACTACACTTTTCGGTGATGTTGCGTATTCATTCTCCGGCGACTCGTGACATGCAAAAAGCGAAAGGTAAAGTACGCCGCGTCTGTAGCTCACATGAGCTTGAGCTTCTGCACGCTCTTCAGCACCATGAAGGAAGCCCCGACGCCCAGGCATGTCACCACCACGCCGACGGCCAATGCCACCCACCCAACGACAGCGCCAGGGTCCGGGAACGAGTAGCTTCCAATGTCAGAAGCCCACTGAGGCTCGGTCCAAATCGGCATCGACGAGTTAACAATGTCGTAATGCAGCACTGCCGTAGTTCGCTTGATCGCTGGGGAGCTGGCTTCGTGATGGAACGCACTCTTCGTAGCGCAAATTCCCGGGTGAACGCACTCCATTCCCTTTCCACCGTTGTGACAACCTTGACTTTGTGAGCACGAGGCAGCAGCAGCAGCAGTAGCATTCGGTACCATCGCAGAGGCCAGAAACGCGCGAGTGAAGAACTCGTAAGCGTTCGGGAAGAGGCGCACCGTGTAGTCGGCGTCGGACCACGACTCGTTGAACAGCGAATGCATCGACTCGTCACTACGTTTGAGAACAAGCATCGAGCCGTCGACGTCGATCGGACCGGGGTACAAAGTGGTCGGCACGGAGTAAGCTGGAGACGCCGAGTCTGACAGGCTCAGATACTCAATCAGCGTCGACTTCATGTACTGGGAGTAGTCGTTCATGAGGTCGCAGTTCCAGTCCGTCGTGATGCACAACAACATTGACCTGACCAGCGACGTATCCACTGCGATCTTGTCCATCTCTGCAGTTGTGGCATTACTAGAAGCGAGGATAAACACGCTCTCTGCTAGCACCTGCGCAGCCTTTGCAACTGCATCCACGTCCAGGAGCGTAAACTCGTCGTGACGACTGTTGTACGTCCTCTTCGAAGAGAACGTGCCGTCATATCCAGCTAGCACCGCGCCTACTAGATCACGCTTACCGTACTCACCGCCATTCACGAATGAGGTCAACGGCGTCGGGGGAGAGAGCCTGTGCTGCCCTCAGTGACAGCAGAGGCAGCTGACGGTGCGCGCATAATCGCGTCCACGAGATTACTGGAATCGTTCGCGTTGGGATTCACGTGCACCGTAAAGTTGCCAGACTTCGGCAGAATGCCCACCTGGTCAACTGCAATCACGTACGAGATGTTAGCGAGCTGCAACTTAGCAAACTCTGTGCTACTTAGCATCGGCGACGTGCAAAAGCTCTTGCCCATGGGCGACACGGAGTCATCGACGGCGAACGCACAAGCTCCTTCCGGGTCCTTCGTGAATCGGTGCAGGTCCGACAGGAACTTCCTCGACCCGACAAAACCATACTTCTCGGCCTGAAACGCTGCAAACACCACCTTTTTATCGAAGGCCGAATCCGGCACTCCCTTGAGCGCATGAGCTGCTGCAAGCAGTGCCACAAGTCCAGACGCTGCCGTGTTGGCCCCCGGTGCCAGCACATGCGACAACGACGTCGCATCCATTCCAGCCATGGCCATGACGATCTCGTCCGACTTCAAGTTGCCCCTCATGGCCCACGAACTCTGTCCTCCAATCGGGTCGCACCGGGGACTGCGGTTTCCGTATAAATTGGTGAACGTGAGGCACTTGATCGAGTCCATGTCTGCCGGTCCGAAGTAGTAGTTCATGAACGCCCTATACGTCGCGCCAGAGCCATTGTCCACGTTCTTCTGGGCGCGTTTCGTGAACTCCGCGCCGACTGTGGCGTTCTGCAGCATCACGACGGGAAACGGCAAAAGCTTTGTCAACAGCGCGTTGCCCGTCGGGTTCCACTTGGTCTTGTCACCTGCAAACGGGTTCAGCACTCCGTCGATCGTGCCGTCTCCTTGGGGGGCTCTCGCGTCAAACGACGCGTTCGTATCGCCGGCATCGGGAAAGATAAAGAGACCGCCAATGCGGTCGAAACCGGGCGAAAGCACGTCGTACTCCGCGAGCGATTCGGCCATCACGAGCACGTACTTGTCGTCGGTATCCACCAAGTGCGATTTTCCTGCGATAAAGTTCTGCAGGTCTTTCGAGCTCGTAATTGGGTACAGGGTCGCCATGTCGGTACTCGAGAGACTGCGGCAGCCGATACTTCCTCGTGTGTGGAACAAACGGACGCACTCGCCGCCCGTGGTGACCAAGTGATCCGGCGCGCCTGCAGTCACCGACGAGGCGCGGGACTCGCACCACTGGAGCAGCAGCAGAGCCACAGGCAGAAGAAGCGTCGACCGAACGGGGAGCTGCATCGCGCGTGGAACTGAACGTATGCCAAGTGCCTGTTCAATGGAATAGTCACCATAGCGCTCGCAGGGGCGGATCTTGACCGAATATTCCCAGCGCGTTCATCAAACATTGACAATAGCGACCGAAAGCTGATTTTGACACATCGAACGCGCCAACGTCTCGTCAACATTGATTTTGACCAAACACAGCCCGTCGCTTTTCGTGTGTCAAAACGACTGTTTCGATCGCGCGTCGACGGCCTCAGGTGCCGTAGATTTCGCGTCATGACGAAGCGGCGCGAGCTGAACGTGCGCGAGCTGCTCGAGCTGGAGCGCCAGATCTACCAGGAGAGTATCGACCGCGTGCGGAAGCAGCAGGAGGAGCTGAAAGCCGGGACGCTGGAGGACTTTGTCCGGCGCTGCCAGCCCTTCGAGGCGGATCGCGAGCGCGAGCTGCAAGTGGCGCAGCACCAGTACCACTTCTCGCTGCAAGACGCGTCCAGTCTCTTTGAGTTCGACGTGCAGCAAGCAAACGACGTGCTGCGGTCGGACGAGCAGCAACTGAAACTGGAGCTGCTCGAGCGCACCCAACAGCGTCGCCGGCGAATTGGACAGCGGCGGCAGATGTTGCAGGACGGCATTGTTGACACGAGCAACGTGAAGGCAGTGAACGTGACGCATTCGGATCGCGTCGACACGCGGCTGACCAAATTGGAGCCTGAGCTGCTGGAAAAACAGCTGCGGCGTGCACGACAGCGGATGAGGACGAGGTTCAATTTTCGACACTTGTCGCGAGGTATCTTGCCGACTCCGAAACGGATTGTGGACGATGTGGTACACGAGTGTGCGAAGTTGCAGAGGAATCGAGAACGAGACGAAGGGGTCAAGATGGGGCAAGAGGAAGAGGCGGAGCAAGAGGTGGACGTGGTCGTTGATGAGGTTGGAGAGAAGTTGATGTGTCGAGGACGTGTTGGCGAGAATGGTGCCGTGATGGACGAGGCGTTTTGTGTGGGCGATCCAGTGGTGTTGTTGTCAAAGTTGACGGAGGAGGACTTTCAAGGATTCGTGTCGGCTCTTTCGAAGGAGGAAGTCAAGTTGGTGCTGGTGTGTGGATCGCACGTTCGCGTGACGCTTGCACGACTACGTAGTGGGCAGTGTGCTCTTCGAAAGCAATCGGAGACAGCTAACTCGGAACCGAAAGCGTTGCTTGGCGTTGCGGCTAATTTGACAGAGCTGTTGCAGGATCCACCAGACGTTCGACGACGCGCTGCTACAGTCATGCGTACGTCGAGCTGTTGTGTATTGCAAACGACCCTGGTCTTATAGTGTTGTTGTGTATGCGCCTGACAGACAGACTCAAGCTAAAGGCGACCGACGACAACTGATGCGAATGATTCTGTAATGTCAACGAACGATTTTGCTGCAACAGAGCTCGTTGCAAGCATGTGTCTGGTTGTGGAATGACGACGTCTCTACTGTGTCTTCTTATGCGCTAATGGACGATCCGTTACGTCGACCTCTAGCAGTGGGCGGAAGGTATTGACGAACGTGTAGCGCGAGAAGACTACAAACAGGCGGCGGTACCACACAAACTGACTCTGGTGCAGTGCCATGGCATTGTAGTTCCACCATGGCCTGAAAACAAAGACGAATTGCCGATCCTGCTGTGCGTCCTCTGTCTGACGCGTCAACCATAATGACGGCACGGCATCCAGTATCCCAATGTACTTGCGCACGATATTCGTGCTCTCCAGAGCCCACCCGCGAACGACCTTTTCCGCACCGGCGTTCGGCGTAGTAGCAGCGCTGCATTTCTCCGATTGTTCACGCAGAGCCTGTTTGACTCCGCAATGGGTCGCAATGTGGTTTGGATGCCCCGAGACGCCGTAGCCATCGAATGTAAAGACCTGCGATCGCCAACGCAAGACACACGCAGCGTCAGTCAGTTGCCGCTCCATCTGCCATCCTCCCATCTAGCATCCAGCCAGCAACAACAGCCGCAGCGCTCTACGAACCGCATCGATGCGGTGCTTGTCCACGTAGTCCAGCACAATCGCTGCAATCCGCGACGTGTCCCAGTGGTTCTGCATACCGTCTTGAAGCTCGGGCTCCTCCAGCACGTGGACATGGGGAGTTGCCAGTCCAATGTGGCCGGCACACGCGCGAAGTTCCTGCTCTCGGACGGCCCCTAAGCCATCAAAGTTTCCCCGGGAGAGACACAGCAAGTGGGTCTCCCACTTGTCGCGGCCAGCGCTGGATCTGAGCTGGAGCGAGTGCACGAGAGGCAAAAGAACATACTCTCGTCGTCGGGATGGGCCGTGACGAGCAGCGCCCGTTTGGTCGGCGCGGAAGACTCATTTGGTTCGCGCTGGAACGGGACGACGAACACGAGCGCTGCAGCGACGAACAGGAGGACATTGGCGCCCAGTAAGAGGTGCTTGAGCGCCTCGAGGCGCGTCTGGAGCTCCTCGTCGTTGAGGTCAAAGAGCATTGCGACGCTCTTTTCGCGCAGTGAGCGGATGATGTTCGTTTTCGGACCGAGTGAATTGGTAGCGATGTGGTAAGTACGATCACCAGACGACCTGTTCAGACCGCGAGGAGCTCTTTGTACCGAGCGAGAAACGCTGCGGCAGTATTGGAAATCTGAGCGACGACGACGACGGACTGTCGTGGCCACTGCTGTTGCTGCAGTTGGCGCATTTTGGCCACTATTGGGTCGGACGTGATCGCGGCAAACGCACGCGAGTCCAGTAGGAAATACGCGATCGTTAACGACGAGACGACGACGTTGAGCTCCGAGCGGGTGAACGGCGTCGCGTCGTCGTCTCTCGGCGGTATGTCCAACACAAACGGCACGAGGAGCTCCACGCCGTCTCCGTCAATGAACTGCTGTTGGAGCTGCGGGTCGGAGATGCAGTTGCAGATACCGCCCAGTGCGAATTCCACCAGCGAGCGCTTCTGCACAAGCTGACGTGGGGACGTCGTTGTGGACGGACCTTTTCGGGCAGACCCACAGACGTCGCTGTCGTCGTTGTGGGTCTCATTGACGTCGGTGGATCCGCCGGGGCTGGCGACGGCGAGGATGTCGAGGAACAGGTCCATGATGCGCAGAGCACAGAAGGACGTGTAGTTGATGGGGTCGTAGGCAAAGTTGGCCAGATGGGCCACGACCTCTTCTTGCCGAAGAACGTCAGGAGAGCGCTGGAACTCGTTGACGAGCTGCTGCAAGTACTCGTGACGCGGTGGCGCGTCCTGACCTTGTCGCGCTTGCAGACGTGCACGCGATGACAGCATTGTCTTCGACTCTCTAAGGCAAAAACGGACAAAAATGAGTGGACGGCAGAGACGCTTCACGGTGTTCTATGACGCCACTGTATCTCAAAGCTCTCGGGTTGTTGTGATACACATACAGCTGCCTCGTTCTCGCTGACCTGCTTTACAAAAGCTTGTGGTACGGCTTGATGGGGTTCAGGATGCTACGGCACATTGGGTTCGTGCAACGTGCGCAGTTGAGCGGGTACGTGGGCGAGTGCAGTTCGTTTGAGTCCAAGTGTTGCTTCACGATATCGGCCTGAGCCTCGAACAGCAGAGGCTCGTCATTCAGCGACGGACACCGCTTGAAGTGCTGCAAACAGAGAGAGAAAAAACGTGAGTCAAGAGGAACACCCTGGCTGCAGTCTTAGCTGGAGCAACCCATCTACGCACCGCGATACCAGCTTCCTTGGCCTCCTCGGCGTACTCAATGTCGATCTCGTAGAGTGTCTCAACGTGGTCCGACGTGAAAGCAATAGGCACGGCCATGACATGCCTGTGCAACACGGAAGAAAGCGGCGTCAGTGGCTACACAAACCAGTACACATGCAGTGCCACTCGACCGATCCGACTTACTTGTGTCCCTGTTTCCCGTAGAACTTGATCACGTCGCTCGTGCTTGGCCCCATCCATGGCAAGTAGCCGACTTTCGACTGCCAGCTGAGAATGTGCGGGTTCTTCCCCGCCAACTGCTTCATCACCCGATCGGCCGTCGCGGCAATCTCGTTCACATACGCGTCGCCCTTGTACACCGTCTTCATCGGCACCGAGTGCGCGGAAAACATGATAATGACCTTGTCTCGGTCTTCTGGCGCGTACTGCTCCAGTCCCATCTTCACCCTGTTCACCACAGCCGAGATGTAGCCCGGGTGCGTGTTCCAGCGATCAATGAGCGACCACTGGAAGTCCTCCTTCATGTCGAGCCGGTCCAGCTCGCGCCACAGGTGGTTCATGCTCGAACCCGACGTCGTGCACGACCATTGCGGGTACTGCGAGAAGGCCACGGCGCGCGTGACGCCGTCCTCCTTCATCTGCTTCAGGGACTGCTCCGTCGACGGGTCTGCGTAGCGGAAGAAGACGTAGTGCTTGTGCGGTGCGCTCTACAGCAGTGCACACACGAGTCATGACCACACATTAGCCCCTCGAGCTCGTCCAGCGCTTTTAACGCACTGGTTGTACCTACTTGTGGTCGGACGTTGTCCAGGATTTTGCACATGTGTTCGCCCTGCAGGTTCGTCCACTTGAGGATGGGAGAGCCGCCTCCGATCTGCGAGTACTGGTCCACGATCTGAGGCGTGCGGCGCTTGGCCACATACGGACCGACGACGCTTTGCACGGGGCCCATGGGG